CAATAGACCATTCCTTACGGTCAGTCCACCTTTCTAACCTCATTTAAAACTCAATTTGGATGAACCAAGCTGACATTTGTGATTAGACCTTGTCTACTGTTCTACAAAGCGAGTTCAATTCGATTTCACAAATTGTTGTGGGCGATGCATCAGTGAATGCATTATGCATCAATGTTCAGGAAATCCCTCTAGTGTTGGCAGTCTGGAAGAGTTGAAGGAACTTGAAGGAACGCGAGACTTCTGTATAAGGAACACTCTGCAGTTATGAAATGCGAGCGATACTGTAACGTCACCCTGGCACCGATGTCAAATTAGAAGTAGGAGATGCGTAGAAGGGGAGTTGAGGAAATGGATCTTACCCACAGAACCTAAAACCAATCGCATTGCTTGCTCACCAGGTGATTAACCGGTTGTCTGATGTGCAGTGAGGATTGATATTTAGTTTCCAGAATTGGTAGGCCAAATAAACATCTTTTGCTGACTTGGAATGGTCAATTCACCGTTCATCACTCACTACCCACCACATCTCATTCCACTTCACCACACCCCATCCACCCCATCCAAGATCATCCAGCCCCATCTCTAAGTGCCCCATACATTCGCATCCCACACTACGCTACTCTTCCCTATACCACACTTCCACTGTCCACATAGCTTCATTCTCAGGAGACTACGCTCCCACATGTACCGGATGGTCATCTCTCAAACACCATTTTCCTCCTCGGATTGAGGGACTGCTGGTGTGTATTTTGACTTCGACACTGACTCAATCCACGGTTCAACAGCTTCAGAAATAGAACTATCCGCTAAAGAATGTGCTCTCTCTGTGGTTGCAAATAGAATGATATTTTAGTTCCTCACACTACCAATCAAGTTATTTCCTTCCATCGGCCCACCAAATCAAGCTGTTAAACGGCAGCAGGACCTTAATGCACAAATGTCTAAATCGCTACCTGCAAACAGCAGAATTTTAAGTTACCTTCTATTCCAATAGCTCTATTTTACAGTAAGTAGCTATTCATTTGACTTCTTGCAGTGTGTAATTTTACCATTCGAAGTGGAAGAAAGTGCGAAGGTGATCAATCTACTGGTAACGGTAGAGAACTACCTAATTTCTACTACAGCATGACTTTTTCACCATCGCACAGGTGTACTTTCCTTCTCCTTGGACGGCTTGAATGGCAGAGGGTGAAGACGAATCGGGTGGCCTTTGGTATCCTCCACTTGCTGCCTATCAACCTAGACGAGAAGAAATAATAGTTTCTCCTTCTTATGTTGCAATAATGTAGAGGACAGTTTTGTCAAACTGGATAAGTCTGTAAATGTAGGGAAATGATTATTTCGAGGAGCAATACTTTCATTTGTTTTCCATACCACCTCGAGCATCAATGATTGGATAGGTGTTTCACCAACCAGTTGAATTCTTACAGGACTGACAGCTGAGGCTATTCACCACAACAACCGACGCTGCTGATCCAAGATGCAAACTCGCCTTTATCTTACTGCTGAGCGGCTAAGAGTACCATCACCGCGACCATCTGTACAATTTCGCATTCCCCTTTAGGCAAAGGTAATTGTTGGCTAGTTTAAATTTTACAATACTTTGTTAGTACGTAACTTGTTTTGCACATACTTGCTCCCAAACTCTATACTTTGGCATCTTGCCTTGAATGAGATTGGCAGATGCTGTTCCATGACTTACGCGATGAGAATGCAGGACCACCATGACACTACTTCTTGCTAACAAAGTAGCAAGAAATCAAGTCCCAAGATGACTCGAAGACTCGTTGTACATGGTCATAAGGCAAAATTACGCACCTCAGACAGTAGCTTATAAGAAGTTAATACTGATTCATTTCCCCGACCACCTCAATAACAATTGCCTTGTGGAGGGCATTTATTATAATTGGTCTTTTATTGGATCAAGTATTACTGGAATACGTGTAGTAATAAGTGAGATATTTCCTTTTAGATCAGCATATGCAACGTTGGAATGCATATGTCCTTCCCGATTTGCAAAGAGAAACCTATTGCTTAATCTCAGGGTCATGTGTGAAGTGGTAATCCCCTCGAAGCCTCTGTGCATACACAGCAAAGCTGAGGATGAATAATGCCTAAATGCTTGTTAATAAGTTGATTGGATTCACATAGAATGGAGGAGAAACATGACAAATAGCCACGAAATATCAAATAAACAACGCCATAGACGTGAGTAAACAGGTATAACATCCTGTCGTGCTGCCATTTCAGTTAATCATAGCAAAGTAAAGGCGACAACACGGAAGTCTTCACTGCCAACTTGTATGAGTAGGCTGGAGCATTGCGGCGCATGGATGGACACATGCTGGTTGACTGCTAAGAGTACGGTGTGGTTCACTTATCGCATTTGCAGAGTATTTTGAATGACCTTGACTTCCTGATGGTTACTGGGGCATTTTAAGCCCACATGTAAGTGAATACACTAAAACAGGGGAAAAGGACGGCAGTGATGGCATCAAAATATAGTTTCATGCCAGGAGGCTAGATGTACTTAACGACGAAGTGTATGGGATGAGATGATAAGGGATGGTGTAGGGTGCAGTGGCTTGATTGGATATATTGAAGTGGATTGGGATGTAACGGATACTATGAGATGAGCTAACCACTTGGAGTCAGTTGGTGAGCAAAAAAACCATTTTTAATATTGAGTTTTAGATGGGCGGAATGTAGACAGCATCAATTCTTTCAGCTTTTCTAGCACGTCTCTACACCTTCTCAGTTGGTCTTGGTGGCAGTGTAACGTTGCAGTATCACCTACATTCCATGACCAAGGATCGTGCTTTACGCGTTTTTCTGGCGCCTTCCACACTGCGCACATCGAATTTTGATGCTTAGAGTTCTAAGCATGAAACTTCGCCAGTGTTGGCACTCTATAACTCTGCCCGAAGACCACGCCGCAGAGAGAAAACGTGCGAACGTCCAAGACTGAAGTACCTAAGTGTTATGTCAAGGTATTGTATTCTAACCTACACTGAAAACCACAATCTCTCCTTCCTTCATTCTAGAAAATTCCTTTTAATGACACCAGAAATGAGCAGAAATATACCTTCACACCAAATGTTGCCCCACCACCTCTGGACAAGTTCGTTAAGTTGATTAATCCTTTATCAGTAGCATGAACAACCATTGAGAAAGAATCACATCTGTCCAACAACAAGAGTGCCAGCATTGGCGAAGTTTCATGCTCAGAACCCTAAGCATGTAAATGCGATGTGCGTAGTGTGGAAGATGGCAGAAAAACGCGTAAAGCACGATCCTTGGTCATGGAATGTAGGTGATACTGCAACGTTACACTGGAGGAAAAGACACCTCCATTAATTGTTTTATCAATTAAAACTGGGGAATGTCCTATGTGAAGAAGGTTGGCAAATAACTGTGATTTCTTCTTCTTCCCATCTACCTCAGGTACCTTCATGCCGATTCGCTACCAGTCCCTGCAAACAACTCGACCGATTCAACTCATTTTATCATCATTCCGGCAGTGTTACTCTATTCAAGTTATTACTTTTTCTCCAAGAAGGAGCAACACGCACTCATTTTGGCACTTCTCATTCAGTCAATCTGTCTACGACGCAAGACGTAGTGAAACCATGTCACCATATGAAAGGTAAAGAACACGTGTCACATTAATGTGACGTAGGTGGCAAATCTATCAATAAATCGCAAAATCTGGGAGTAATTTTACAATGAGGATGAACCGAGACTGCGCTTTGTTGAATCAGGACCCATCAAAGCTTAAAATCTAAAAACGAGAGGAGTGTCACTAACGAGGCATCAGTTAAAACTGGGCAACGCATAAAAGGAGTTTCCCTTTCCCAAAACATTTTATGTTCCATAGATGCATATGCAGTCACATGACCTTTTTGCGGAGCCCGTAGTGAGAATGACGAGGAGTTCAATCTGCGTCCATTCTACCCTCCATTGAAGCCACTCTGGATGTTGAATACGAGGGAGGCATTGGCACTCTTGCCACACCTGCCGGGTTGGTAGCCCTGCCCAGCGGGTACACCGCCATGAATGTGCGATTTTAGGTCTTTTATAAGTTTGTATGAGGTAAATGGGATGTCTTCTCTTTATCCAATCTGCTAATAAAACTCCTAGATGCTTCAAAAGATATTTTATAAATAGACCTTTTTAATCCTGAATGTGCGAATCCCGAATAGTGGTATCAGAAAATTCGGAAATATCAGAGGGAGAAATGTGACAGGTTTAAAACCCTATCGATGGATAAATTGTTGCGTTTATTGCCATTTTGCCGAACGCAATTGTAATTGTCAAATATGGAGGTAATTGGCTTTTTCTACTTTGCAGAGAACTGAGTGGTGCATTGCAACCATTTCTAAGCCGGTGCACATGTACGACATCCACATTTTCCCATCTGGCTGCGTCGTCACATGCACATGTGGAAGGTGTTCCGCAGCACCTCATGGCACGTGCTTGTTTCACATCGCTTTGCAATCGGATCAGTTGAAAGTAAAATACAATTCTGAAGGAAACCCCGGCAAAATATTTAACATTGAGCTTAAGCTACTTTATTTATTTAGCAAATTAGGGATTTCTGTGCTCTACTACTTTGCCTAAAGATATAAATCTACAAAGAAAAATTGGTTATTCATGAATACATCCAGGTGAATATGACAACATCAAGAAAGCGTCTTCTCTTCCAAACTTTCGTCTTCAATGCTCCAGACTTCTTCAAACAGGGCACGCAGCTGACGGCGCTCTCGATGATATTGAATCAGAGAGGGCATGAGAAGCAGCACTGCCAGAGTTGCGAAGATGCCGACGAGAACAAGCAACGTCCTGCGAATTACTGCTGGTAACACATAGGCCAT